TTATATTTAAAATTAAATAGAAAAATAAATAGAATATCATGATAAAATCACTTATTTTTTTAATTTAATTTTTATGTATAATAAATTAAGAGTAGATTTTTTACTTAATTTTAAAAAACATATATACACCACTTTAACGTGTATTATTTTTAGGTTAATAATATAAACAACTACTTTATTACTGAAGTATATAATATGGGCGAAAATTATATTTGTAAATTTTTACTTTATATTAACATAATATAAAGCAAAAGATTATGTAAATAAAATATATAATATATGGCAAAAAATTTATAAAAATATAAGAAAGCACGATTTAAGATTGCAATTTAATTAAATTAGATATATTATCTAAAAAATATACATCCATATTTCGATCATAAAGGGAAGTAGGCTAATGTTAAAATAATATAAAAATAATTACCTTGGTTAGGATCAGGAGTTATGGAAACTACTAAGTTTTGTTCTAAAGAATGTAGATTGGTAGTAGAGGCTAATGTTAAAACATTGCTTTAATGGTAAAATAATATAAAAATAATTACCTTGGTTAGCATTAGGAGTTATGGCTGCTACCAAGTTTTGACATTTTAAAGAATGTTGGATGGTGATAATTAAATCGAGACCAATCATTAATTTGGCTCTACCACCACATCTTTTGCGACAAGTAAGGTAAACGGCCTTCCACTTGTATGGGCCAAATATTCATGCCCTTGGTAGCATATATAGTCCTTTTTATTCTGTGTTTGCTGAAAACAAAAATAATAAATATATAAAATGGTTTATTACTTTTATTTCAAGTTGTTTATATTTAAGATAATTTTTAAGGTTATCAGCTACAGTTGGAATCATATCAAAAATATGGCGGCCATTTTTGTGAACATTATTGTGAATATTCACATTTTTCCCTATAATGATGCTCGCTATTTAGGTCTCTTACCGCTGAATAACCTTAAAAATTATCTGAAATATAAACAACTTGAAATAAAAGTAATAAACCATTATATATATTTATTAATTTTGTTTTCAGCAAACACAGAAGAAAAAGGACTATATATGCTACCAAGGGCTTGAATATTTGGCCCATACAAGTGGTAAAAAGGCCGTTTACCTTACTTGTCGCAAAAGATGTGGTGGTAGAGCCAAATTAATGATTGGTCTCGATTTAATTATCACCATCCAACATTCTTTAGAATGTCAAAACTTGGTAGCAGCCATAACTCCTAATGCTAACCAAGGTAATTATTTTTATATTATTTTACCATTAAAGCAATGTTTTAACATTAGCCTCTACTACCAATCTACATTCTATAGAACAAAACTTAGTAGTTTCCATAACTCCTGATCCTAACCAAGGTAATTATTTTTATATTATTTTACCATTAAAGCAATGTTTTAACATTAGCCTCTACTACAAATCTACATTCTTTAGAACAAAACTTAGTAGTTTCCATAACTCCTGATCCTGACCAAGGTAATTATTTTTATATTATTTTACCATTAAATCAATGTTTTAACATTAGCCTCTACTACCAATCAACATTCTTTAGACAAAACTTAGTAGTTTCCATAACTCCTGATCCTAACCAAGGTAATTATTTTTATATTATTTTACCATTAAATCAATGTTTTAAGTTTAACATTAGCCTCTACTACCAATCAACATTCTTTAGAACAAATCCATAACTCCTGATCCTAACCAAGGTAATTATTTTCATATTATTTTACCATTAAATCAATGTTTTAACATTAGCCTCTACTTCCAATCAACATTCTTTAGAACAAAACTTAGTAGTTTCCATAACTCCTGATCCTAACCAAGGTAATTATTTTTATATTATTTTACCATTAAATCAATGTTTTAACATTAGCCTACTTCCCTTTATGATCGAAATATGGATGTATAAGTTTTTTTAGATAATATATCTAATTTAATTAAATTGCAATCTTAAATCGTGCTTTCTTATATTTTTATAAATTTTTTGCCATATATTATATATTTTATTTACATAATCTTTTGCTTTATATTATGTTAATATAAAGTATAAATTTACAAATATAATTTTCGCCCATATTATATACTTCAGTAATAAAGTAGTTGTTTATATTATTAACCTAAAAATAATACACGTTAAAGTGGTGTAGATATGTTTTTTAAAATTAAGTAAAAAATCTACTCTTAATTTATTATACATAAGAATTAAATTAAAAAAATAAGTGATTTTATCATGATATTCTATTTATTTTTCTATTTAATTTTAAATATAATTTATATATATTTTTGAGAGGGAAACATTCTAGTTTACTTAGTTTTCAGTTTTTAATAAACTATAATTTGCTTCTTATCCGCGTCTTAATGAGAGAAAAAAAATACTCCCTATCTCCCACCTTAAAAATATGTTTTACTCCATATGCCTACAGGATATTTGAAGGAATTTGCACGATAAGATATTCGACGATCGCGAACGACAAAAATAATGGATTTCTCAGAGAGAGGAATGTTATAGATGTTAAAAAATAATATTTTAATATTAGCTAAAATAATATTTATAGTTAATTTAAATAATAATTATAATAAATTTAAATAATAATTATAATAAATTTAAATAATAATTATAATAAATTTAAATAATAATTATAATAAATTTAAATAATTATTATAATAAATTACAAAAATATAATATAACATAAATTTAAATAAATTATAATATTATTTAAAATAAATTAAAATATATACCAATTAAAATAATTTATGATATATATCTAAATTATTATAATGACCTTTTCGAGATTTATATTTTTATAATTTTCAAAAGAATTAAACTCTGAAGTTTCAATATAAATAAATATATATTTATAATTATATAATAATCATAGAATATAGAGATAATTTAAATATAAATTTTATAATTTTATGATAACTAATATTAATATATAAAAATTATAGGTGAAATAGATAAATATTGAATGCTAATAATTTATAAAACACTAATATTAATATATAAAAATTATATGTGCAATATTATTGAAAAATAATAGTTTTATAATACTAAAAAGATTTATATATTATAATATATAAAATATTATAATATTAATATATGTAAATTATTTTACTTTGTTAATATTTTAAAAAATACAATTTAAAATGTGTAAAAAAATGTAATTATTATCAACATTCATTTAATTTATCGCTATTGGGTTTCGTTAGCTGATATTTACACAACTTGCAAGGAAGAACATGTTCCTTAAGATTCTGATTTAATTTTAATTAATCAAGTAAGAGATAAATGTTTTAAAATTGTTTCACGAGTTTCGTCACTCTACTTACCATAAGCTATGCTGTTTAAAGTAGCGCACTAGTAGCTAGCGCCGCCATTTATATAGAGTAGCCATAGCTAAAAATTAGGGGAATCTTGAGAGGAGATTGTATAACAGGCTATGAAAATATTTAATACATAACTTATAATATTCGATTTATTTTTAATATTTTTGATAGGAAAAAATTGTAGTTTAATTAATTTTAATTTTTCTAATAAATTAGGATTTGCTCCTTTTATGTCCATAAGAGAAAAAAATTCCCTACCTCAACCCTAAATTATTTTTTACTTACTATCCTTAAAGGCTATATTAAAACATTTACCCCCCCCCTCCCAGCGTCTACGTGAATGGGGAGGGGTAGTAACAGTTCACATCCAATATTTTGAGGAGGGTAAGGGGTAGGCGCCTGGGGGTAGGATAAATTTATTTGGAAATTATTTATTAATTTTTAGATAAAATAGGAAAAAATATATTGCTGTAAAAATTTATCCTTTTATTATAGACCTATTATAATATATATTACTGATGATCGACCAAATCTGTACATTGCAAACAAACAAATGTTATTTTCCAAATAAAACTTTCTGCTACATTTAAAAGGTTTAGACATTCTCAGCAAACTCATACTCATGCCAAAAAGAATTGTGGAGGCTTTTAATTGAATTCATGATTGAAAAATAACACTTTTATATCCACAATATTTTGATAGAAAGTTTTTTATAATTAAAAAGGTGTAATTAATAATGGTGGCAAAAATGGGGGGCGGGGGTTAGCATAGTTTCTTTGAGGGGATATGCATCCAATGAAAATTCTGTAATGCAGGCGCTGCCCCCCCCACCCGGCATGTAGCTACTGCTTCTTATTAGTATTCTCCTTAATTATGATCATTAAATGGTACCCTCCACCACTCCCTTAATACAATTTAGAAAATGTTTTAAATAAAGTTGTAATATAATAACACAAATATATAAATTATATTTATGTGTACATTTATAATTTAAAACAAATTATTTATTAATAATTTATAAAATACTATAATAATATCAGATAAAAAAATAGGTGTAATATTATAATTATATAATAATAATATTATAATAAAATGATTTATATATTTTTAATAATTATTTACATTTTAATAATTTATAAAATTATTTGTATATTATATGTTAGCCTTTTTTAAACTATCATTCATTTAATACCTCGCTATTATGATGCTCGCTATTTAGAGGTGGAACCAAATGTACATACTCATAAATCATGATTCCAAGAATAACATCAAAATTGTCTATTTTTCTTCATGCTAATAACTTTTCAGTAATAAAAAAATTGGATCGAACCTCTGAAAAAATCTTCAGATCGGAGGGACAAATTTTTTTAATAGAATAGGGCCAGACCCGAAACGAAATATATTGAATTATTTCTTCTTTTAAAGGCTATACTAATTTTGGTGATCAATGTCTATAAAAAGACGCTCACAATATGTAAACGTAGTTCCTCTTTACTTTTAAAGGAGCTATCCGAGTTTCGTAAAAAAACGGTGTTCCAGCGCTTATTTTTGAGAAAAGATAGGCAGCTACTTAACAACACACTATACAGATGGTTTAATACTATTAAATACACATGAAAAAATTTATATTAAAATTATAAGTTTTTGAATAAAATATGTTTAAAAATATATAACATACATTTCAACCAGGATGTCTATCATATATTTGATCAATCGTTGCACACCTTTCTTGTTTTTGCATGAAGTGAAGATTAAATTTTCGAAAATATTTGATACATAATCAAAATCCTCGTAAATTTCGTTAACATGATTGACTAATAAATCGCATTTATTAACAATGAAGAGGATTCGCTTCTCGATATTCGTATGTTTGTCTAATGTAAAAACAATAAAAATGATAATAGTACCTAAGTAAATAGTATAGTGTTTTAATTATTGGTGTAAAAAATATATGATAATAATAATCCATATAATAAAATTAGTTAATCAAATACATTTTCCAAAAATATTTAAATTACATTTTGCATATGATTTAGAAACTATTATAGATTTTGTACTTACACTATTACGATTATTAAAAAAATATACAAAACACAGTATTGCAAAATCGGTTAATTTGAGTCAGGCCTTGAGATGCTATTTTTCGGTTTTCTCAAGGTTGAGCCATTTTTCTTGCTTCAATCTTAAGGATAAATATATTTTTCGACTAAAAAATAAGTTTATCTAAAGATTTTAGATTCGGCTTAAAATGGCGCGATTTAAAACAAATACGTCAAATTTATTTTTGGAAATATGTTTATTTTTTTTACAGATTTTCGGAAAGGAATAAGAAAGTATTTGAATTAAAGAACGACAAAATATTTTACAAGCTGAGATATTGGTGAAAAATATTTAAAGGCTATTTTGTATAAACTAACTCGATCGAAGATTCATTCATTAAAAGTGTACCTATATAGGAATCAATTGCATTAGACTAAATGATATTTATCATAAATATATTGTATAAACATGTTTTTTTAATTCTAAGATAGAATAGATTTTTTTAAACAAAGTATATATCATTTAGTCAATGTGCAGACAATAAAACTGCGTTTGCGCTGGATCCTAGATATGTGAGCTTTTAAATGTGTTTTTATTTAATGAATGAATCGTCAATCGAATCTACCCAAAGGAGGGTTCGGACTGGGTTAATTCAAAATCGAACCGGGCATGGTTTTTTTAAGCAAAAATTTTTTCTAATCGGGTCGAAAATTAAAATTACTTTAGGATTAGGACAAAGCAATAAGTGATTTTTAATATTCAACTTTATATAAATGTTTTCAGACTATATTTTTAAATAAAAAATTTAGGGTAGGGTCCAAGCCTAAAATCAAAAAAATCGAGATGAGCCGGGCGTAAAGATTAAAAATCTTTGGTCAGGCTTGGGTAAGGGTCTTGCCGAAAAAAAATGAATTTGCAGGGCTTAGGATTGGGTTAATCCGGAATTTTTAAAAAAATAAAACTTAGAAGAATCCAATTTTTTTAAAAAAATAGGTAAAGCATAAATCTTATTTTGATTTTTTTCATTTCCAAATTTTTATAAGGGCCGGACCGGGTAACTTGTACAAGGATCTTGAGAGGATCACAAAAAAATAGTTTACCATGATAAAAAGCCCGTATAAAATTTTATCAGATGGGTGTCCAATGTGAATATGAAATTATATTTACATTATACTCTTAATTTAATTTTGTAAATGTTATGGAAATTCTTAAATTTTATTCAAATATAATAAGAACTTTTATGGGCAAATCAAGCAGGATAGATATAAGATTTGAATTGAAATAATAAAAAAAATTTTAAAAAGATTTTACCTAAATTTATTTCGGTATTGGCATTTTTCACTTTCAAACTTCCCCCCTTGTGGAACAAAGAGTAATCGAGCGTTAATTCATTTCTGACATACTTTTCCACGGTATCTTGCCAATATTTAATGATTGAAAGTGTATCTCTAGATTTTTTCGAAAAAGATATTTTGGGGGCCTCTAGCATGACTAGAAGTATATCCGACTGAGATATGCTTAGATTATATATAATTAATATATTCGTTAATTATTTTATTAAAAAATACAGAAAAAATATTTAAATAAATTATTACGTATCCTTGGCTCTTATTATGCCTTCTTCCTCAATCAAGTGGATAGTCGATTCGTCGATGGTCCTTTTTTCACCACCCAAAAATTTCCTAATACCAGCAGTATCGGCATAAATGACGGGGTACCCTCCCAGGTCTTTAGATACATTTAAAACGTCTCTCGTAGTACCAGGAATGGGGGATACGATTGCGCCATTGGATTGACAGAGAATGTTGAATAGTGTGCTTTTACCGACGTTAGGTGAGCCTAAGTAATTAGAATGTACGTTAAACGATGTTCTTCTATTATATTCGAAGTGATTAAACATGTTTTTTCCTACATCCTTACGGTTCAAAGTCCATATGAGAAATTTTATACTATAATATTAACAGTAAAGTGTATACACAGTAAAATATTTTAAAGGCCCTCATTCATCCATTCGGACTCAGAATTTATTAAAGTCTTAAAGAATCTTACCAATATTAATATTACTATCCAGTTTTATTTTTAAAGTTCACTTCTATAGATTTTATATAAGATATATATAAATAAACTGGATCTGTCTATCGTTTAATACCTACTAGTGTGATCCTAAAACCATTGGCTAATCTCTCTCCCCGAAACATTGAATTTTTTAAAAATGAGTTTATAGCTACATGGAGATTATTTATTTCCGTTAGTATTTTTTTTTCTACAAGGATTTCTATATGATGTTCTTCGCTAAAATCGATAAGCATTTCTATATCAGCTTGGTTCTATAAGAATTTTTTAATTTGTGAATACATATTTTTTTAAATATAATTTCTAAATATTCAATATGCATCCCTTTACTCGTCAGCACCCATTCATCTTCCTCAAGCTTCACATCATGTTTAATATAATATTTTGTATGAGGAAATGCCTATTTTTTTTAAAGTATTTTCGAAACAAATTTATGACACATTGCCAAATATTTTTAATAGAACTTAATAAATTATCTATATATTTAGGTAAGTGTTATTTATAATTATTTTCTCATATTCAAAAAACAGTATTATTTATATTTTGAAGTAATAAAAACATAATTTATGTTCTAAATTTTTTGAAACCTTGATTAAAATATTTCTCCAACAATGGTAGAGAGATTTCAATTCACCCCCTACTATCCTCAAAGCAGCCCTTCTTTGTTGTTCGGTCTCAGATTTAATCAAATCGGCCAAACCTTCAACTTCGATCAAATCCATTTTGCCATTATAAAAGGCCCTATATAATCCCATTTTTTGCAAAAAAACTAATTAATCTATTTTTAAGTTCATGATTCGCGAAAATAAGGGCCATTCGCCATGTATCAAAATATTTCAAATACTAAATCTCTAAAGGTTTATCGAAAGAAAAAGAAATTTGGACCCAATTTAATTCTCTAACTTCGGGTCAGAGTTGTTAAAGTAGCTCGCTACTTGTAGCGCGCTACTTAGCGCGCTATCTTTTTTGGTAGCTATAGCTAATAGCCGCTACTTTTTTTAAAATTATTTAATTTTTTAGCGCGCTACTTTTTTTAAAAGTAGCTAAGTAGCGCGCTACTTCGCTACTTTTAAAAAATATAATGAATGTAAGTATAAACATGAAAATTTAAATATAATATCATAATTAATTATAATTTTTATAATTTATTATTTAATTTGGAAATTTAAATATATTTTCAATTTTTAATTTATATTTTCAATCTGTGTTAATAATCTAAAATGGCATCGCCCATGGATATCCAAATTCTTGAAAGTGATTCAGACATGGAAGATTCAATGGAAGAAAATGTACTTAATAACTCTAATAACGATTTCCCATTCCCTAGATTTGAAAAAATTTTTTAAATAAATATTAAAACAAAATCTGGATTCAAATTCCTGTGCTTAAAATGTAAAAAAAATATATCATCAAATCAATCGAGTAGCTATAACCTGAAGAAACACCTAAAGGTAAATTGTTATTTTTACATTATAATATTATTTATTTTATTAGACTGTTCAAGCCAATTGCTATAAGGAAATAGAGAAACATATAAAAAATTTTGGTATAGGAGAATCTTCATTCAAAAAGACAAATACTATCCAAACCAAATTAACTGATAAACATGCCAATATTTCACAAAAATAGGCTGATAAAGTAATTGTTGATTTTATAATTGACACAGTTCAGCCATTGTCCTTGGTTGATAATCCATCATTTACTATGATGATTAAAACTTTATCCCCTGGCACAACAGTTTTATGTCGCCAGACACTTGTGGATAAAATAGACGACAACTTCAAAGTGATGAAAGATGCTCTAATAGTAGAGTTATCAGATATATCTTATGTATGTACCACGGCAGATAGTTGGACACATAACAGAAGGTAAAAACTTATTTATATTTATAAATTGATCTGATTAAATATTTTTAGAGCTTCCTTGCCCTCAAGTGCTAGTGTAGAGAGATTATTTAGTAAAGCAAAGCTTATACTTTCTGATCGTCGCTCTAGACTTGGGGATGATAATATTGAAATGATATTATTATTAAAATGCAACAAATTAAAATAAATATTTATTTATATTACTTATTTTTTTATAATCTAAACTAACTATATTTTTATATTTATAAATGTTTATTTTTATATATTATTTATTATACATTTACATTATAAGCAAAAAAAAAAATAAAAAAAATTTGTTTCATTTGTTTCTAAAAATTTTTTTATAAAAAGTAGCTTAAAAGTAGCTAAAGCTACTTTTGAAAAAAGGTAGCTAATAGCGCGCTACTTTTTTTGACAAATAGCGAAAGCGGTAGCGCGCTACTTTTTTTGGCAAATAGCTATAGCGGTAGCGCGCTACTTTTAAAAATAGCGTTTAACAACTCTGCTTCGGGTAAACGTTTACCGCTTTACCTATATTTTCAAGCAATGGTGGTTTTCGAAAATTTGTTTTGCTTTTTATTTAACCACTTTTATAAATTTAAATATATATATATAAGATGTGAAAACCTTGACGACGCTATCGGCTCTTCCGCAATATGCATTTTTTTTACCAAAAATGGAAATTTTTATTTGTAAAAAATAGATGGCGGCCCCTAAAATGTAGGATCTATAACTTAATCCATTTTTTTTAAATGATGAACAACTAACGTATATCATGTTTCAGGGGAGGGGGTGGGGTGGGGGGGGGAGTGGTATTTCTTAATATGTAGGCATACCTTTTGATAAATTCCCCAGGTTGTGCGATTCCAACACCTTCCATAGATTCTAGGGATTTAAAAACTGCTTTTTGAACAGCAGAGCTTCCATGAATATGAAATTCGCAACAATCTTCTCCAGTAAAACTTTTAGGTCCTGTAATTATTTTATTCAAGTATATTATTTATTTTAAAAAAATATAATGTTCTTTTTTGGGTAAGTAGTGTAATACATGGGCCCGTCAACCACATGGCGCTGAAAGATTCCGAAAATTTAGGGACCCCAAAGGAAAAAATGCTGATTAAAAAAATATCCACATTTATAAGCATATAGGTTGTATCTAGGGTTGTGCCGATATTAAATATCGGATCGGGCAGATACCTGTAAAACCGAACCATTTTATGTATATTTATTTTACATTAGGCTGCGTCCAAAATCTTAAAAATATAAATAAATTTTGAAGAAAAAAATAACATAAACTATTTTTAATGTAAAAATAAAATAGTGTCCAATTTCATTTTTCGGTATTTATAAAAATTTATTTTGTAAAAAATAATAAAAATAAATAAATTCGAATAAAAATTTATTCAAAATTTATTTATTTGTGAAATTTTTATAAAAAATTAGTGAGTACAATTTTTAATGCTGTTAATTTTTATAAATTTACTAACCCAAACGATTATAGCCTTTTATATTAATATATTTTTTAGTTTCAAAAAAAATTTTTATGGAAAGCATAAGAGTCCACAGGAACCTCTGGTGCAAAAATGATTTAAAATTTAGAGATTCCGTAGAAAATAGGAAAATTTGGGAGGGAATAGGAAAAACATACTTGAATTATGATCAAGTGAAAAAGAAATTTTTAGCTGCAAAGGCTAAATTTAATAAATTATATTCTCTCACACAACAAAAATCCGGTAAAAATAAAAATTATATTCAATATATATGGTTAAAACAGTGGCATAGCTACGGGGGTGGTTTTCGGGTTTGGACCCCTGCCAGAGCAAAAATTTATTTTTAGATTATACGTTCAAAAGACTTAAAAGTGACTTTATATCAAATGAACACCATTAATATTTATATTTTTCTGGTTTTGATGTTTGTGGAAGGATATTATATTACTATTGAAATTATTCTGGATAGTATTATTATAAAGTCATTGAGAATAATCTACTAAATTATAATAACATATTATTGATGCATTTAAAAAAATATATTTATTATATATTATCGAAGATATGGTTATGATTTGTAAGATAAACCCGGCCGAAGGCCCGTTAAAGGGGATCTGGGAGCGAAGCCCCCAGGCTTTTATATGTATGGACCCCCTCTAAGAAAAATTCCTAGCTACGCCATTGGGTTAAAAGAAAATATTGATGATATTACTAAATATTCTGAGTCAAGTTTTAAATTGACACAGACAAATTTAAGATATTAAGACAAAAATATAAAATAGTTTCATTTTAGGAATACGAAAATTGACATCTGGGAACAGTATTATTTTATATTTGTATATAAAATTAATTTATTTTAATAGGCTTCATCATACCTTAATAAAATTCTAACTCACGTAATGATATAAATATTGGGCAAAATATGTCTATTGATTCTTTTGATGATACTATAATTTCTGTATATCATATTACTATTATTTGATATTTATTATTGAATAATAGCTAGATCAAGATAATGACAACAAAGAAAATGAAAACCTTATTTCTATTCCTACTTTTAAAAGATAATATATTATTTCTATTACAATTTTATTATATAACTCAAATATATTAATTTATATATATTTTATAGAAAAATTATCTTTCAAAAAAAGTTATTATTGGTTTTCCAACTGTTTATTAATTGATAAAATTATTTACAACATATATGTATTTATTAAGTATATAAATAAAATTTAAATATAACCATTATCAAATAATAGGTTAATACAAAGTTTAATAACTGAAAGGTAATATAAAATAATAAATACAATTACATATCCAATAATTGAATCATATCTGTTTTATTATTAATTTGTTTAAATTTTAAAATTCTAAGGATTTTTTCAAAACATATTGGACGCAGCCTTAATAATATTTTCTAAATAATTTTTTTAAAAACAATGCAAATGCAAACCACCCCTTAAATATTTTTTATTTTTTTTTATAGATTTATAGTATTTTAAAGGTTTTTTTATAAAAAATAGAAAGGAACACCCAAAGTTTTATTTATTTTAAATGTTTTTAAAAAATAAGGCTATTTTATTATTTATACCTTAAATAAAAGAATTTTTTTAAATATGGTATATTGAATTATGGAAATATTTTACAAAAGACAAAGATAATTTTGCAAAATAAGTTATCTGCGGAATTCTAATTTCACGGAGAGCAATAATGAAAAACTCATTTAATACTACCAATATCCGTAAACTATATTGTAGAAATAAAAAAATTAAATTAAAATTCAATTTTTTGCTAAAAAAATATTGATTTCCTAATTACATTTGGTTCAAAGGGGGGTGGTGAAGAATCAATATAAATATCGGATGGGTATCGGTCTAAATTAAATTTTACCACCGCCTAGGACGCATTTATTAATTATATTTATTGTACTTCGTTTACAATTTATATTTACTATCTTTATTTAGAACATTAAATGGGTGGCATACTTAAATTTCACCGATCCGACACACCTTTTACTTTAAAATATGGGAATATTAGAAATTACTAGGGATGTACCGATATTTTTATAGGATCCCCGATATTTCATATTTTTTTAAATATCAGTTATTGGCCCATATTATAAAATTTTTCGATCCGATATAATGACGTTTTAATATTTACAAAATTGTACATTATAAAAATAGGAAGTTATAAAATTTTTTGAAAAAGTTATATCTAGTGTTGTGTAATCGGCTAAAAACAACGCCTAAACCTAATTAGGCTTAGCCTAAAAATCGGCTAAACTTAATTAGGCTTATCCTAAAAAACGGCTAAAACTAAATTAGTCTAAAATTCTGAATCGGCTAGTCATCCGTCAGCGTTCCGCAAGATATGCCTAGCATTAATTATTATTTATTTTTAGAAAATAATATATTTTATTTATATTTAATGTTAAATTATTTTATTATCAAAAATTAAACATATTTATATGATTTAATATTTTTTATTTAAATTATTATATTATGAAATAGAAATATTATGAAAATAGATTTATTTACTTGATGTTTTTTAATAAAAAAAATGATATGCTAATATTGTTGTAATTATTTTTGTTACAATTTATGTGATTTTCACGCCCAAAATTTTAAGACAAATATATTTTTTGAAGTTCAAAAAGATTTTTGAACATATTTTGATTTGATAAGAATTTTAAATTTACTTTGTAAATAAATTTTTTTTGAGGAATTCTTTTGTGAATTTTATTATAAATAAACAATCTTTTAAGTGAAATCTTTTATAATTTTTTTTATCATTTTTGTAAAATTATCTATTTTTGTGGTTTTTTCTAAATAATTTTTTCTAAATATTTATATTAAACTTTGTTATTTTATATGATCTTTTTAATAATAATATTTTAAATGTGCCAAATTGTCATTCGTAATTTTTTAAGATTTTTGAAATTTTTTGACACAAAAGGGTAAAAATATAATTTATATTGTAAAGATGTTAAAGTATAAATTCAATGAATATATTCCTTAAATGACAATTATCATAATCGGTATTTTTAAACATATTAGATTTTTTTTTGACGCTAATGGGCAAAACATGTTAAATTAAAATTACAATTAGGTTGTACCATATTAAAGACAATTGTCATAATCGTCATTTTTAAAGTTTTTTTGACGTAAATGGGCTAAAATAAGGATTGCTAACATGTTTAAATAAAACTTTAGTGAAGATGTACCATTAAGTAACAATTATCATAATTGTTATTTTTAAAGTTTTAAATTTTTTAGACGATGGGCTAAAATAAGTATTGCTAACATGTTTAAATAAAACTTCAATGAAGATGTACCCTAGATTAGTAAAATTGTCATAATCGTTATTTTTAAAGTTTTTTGAATTTTTTTTGACGGAAATGGGTTATAAAATATAAATTGCAATCTATTATTACCATATGTCTATAAAATTCAAAATCTTCAGATAAAATTTAAATGATGTTGATCGTATCATATTGAAAAATAATATTCATATGGTTTTTAAGTTCTTTTCATAAAATTCTTACCCAGAATTCAGACTCATCCCGATTTCGCCATGAGTATACAAAATTGTTTTATTTAAACATGTTAGCAATACTTATTTTAGCCCATCTGCGTCTAAAAAATTAAAAACTTTAAAAATAACAATTATGATAATTGTCACTTAATGGTACATCTTCACTAAAGTTTTATTTAAACATGTTAGCAATCCTTATTTTAGCCCATTTACGTCAAAAAAACTTTAAAAATGACGATTATGACAATTGTCTTTAATATGGTACAACCTAATTGTAATTTTAATTTAACATGTTTTGCCCATTAGAATCAAAAAAAAATCTAATATGTTTAAAAATACCGATTATGATAATTGTCATTTAAGGAATATATTCATTGAATTTATACTTTAACATCTTTACAATATAAATTATATTTTTACCCTTTTGTGTCAAAAAATTTCAAAAATCTTAAAAAATTACGAATGACAATTTGGCACATTTAAAATATTATTATTAAAAAGATCATATAAAATAACAAAGTTTAATATAAATATTTAGAAAAAATTATTTAGAAAAAACCACAAAAATAGATAATTTTACAAAAATGATAAAAAAAATTATAAAAGATTTCACTTAAAAGATTGTTTATTTATAATAAAATTCACAAAAGAATTCCTCAAAAAAAATTTATTTACAAAGTAAATTTAAAATTCTTATCAAATCAAAATATGTTCAAAAAATATATTTGGCTTAAAATTTTGGGCGTGTACAATCACTAATAAATTGTAACAAAAATAATTACAATAGCAGCATATCATTTTTTTTAGGCTGTGTCCTAAATAACAAAAATTGCATAAAAATTATATCGCGCAATTTGCGCGAATCTAGCGAAAAAAATAATATAAGCCATTTTTAATGGAAAACTAAAATGTTGGTCTAAATGATTTTTTCGATTTTGGGCAAAT